TTCGAGGGCAATTTGAGCATATTTTTTTGGCATGGACAATAATTTTTGCGTAAGAAGGACAACACAGTGGCATAAGGGGACACCTTTTTTGCTCGGTATTGGTCGCTAAACGATTCTAGCAAGAATTACTGCCATCGCTGGCTAATGTCAAGAACAAAGAGAAGCATCATTTAGCTCCGGAAGAAAGCCGAAAGAAAAAGGGACATCTGCGTACAGCACTAAAGACGAATCATCATCGCACGTCGATAAAAACTAAACTGCTTACCCGGCAACTAAATCCAGTTCCACGGCTTTCTTTGCAATTCGTGTAGCTGCAGCCTGGATGTTGTGGTGCAATCCCAAATTACCACAGAAACGTGACTGAAAAATCAAAAAATTATAAGTTACGATACCAGAGAACAACGAAAAAAAAAAAAAAAACATCTTCCTCTACAAATTTCACCAATTCGGTTAATAGAATTGAGGGGAAAAAAAGAACAAAGGCGAATGATATGTGGTGAGTCAAATACCAGGATAAGGAAAAAACTGCAATAAAATCAATTCAGCGCTCAAATACGACGAATATTCTCTGCCACAAGTTCTTTCCTTCAAGTTCGCAGGCATGGCGAAGTGGCCAGCAGCAGCAACAGCCCTTGAGGACAAGGATTCGACTGCACCACCACTGGGACAACCAATCTCTCTACGATTCGTTCAATCGTTTCGATGGCAAATTGGTACTGGCATATGCCAAGGAGTTAGGCCCACCGTTAACCTGCTTCAGGAAACTCTCGAAAAAGACAGCCATCAAGAATCTTGTCAGCTGCCGGTTGTTGCTGGCTTTGCCACCAATTGGGCTACTTTCCGAGTGCCACAACCTTCCAAAAACGAAAGAATTCGGAGGAGGAGGAAGAGGTTTGGTGTTGCCTTTCTTTCAGCACGGAAGGAGGAAGTGTAGTTGATTCCAACTGCTGAAAGTGGAGTACCACACGTGAAAAGTTGACAGTAAAATTCAAGACAGCCCAGCGGCAGTGAGTGAGTGAGACATTGTCAACCTCACTTATTCAAAATTCACCATGAAATCAGCGCTGGTGATCTGTTCAAGGCTTGTCTCCAGCGATTTTATAATTAGCTTGAAGCATCTTCCTATTTCTTTCTTAGAAACGCGAGAGGCAGCGCATATTTCTGCAAAATAACAATTTTAAGCGAAATCAATGTTTCTAACCATCGAGAGCACAAAAAGGTGTAAATTAAAAGTGGTACCTTTGAAGGTACGTGGAACACCTTCTTTTCTACAAGCTATGTACAAACAGGCTGCTGCCTGGGCCTCATTGTTTTTCCCGCGCAGCGCTTTACTGTCTAGAACGTCCTTGAAAATCTTTGCCGCACCATCCTGAACAATTGAATACACAGAGTTAAAAAGAAGTAAAAAAAGAAATGAAAGACAAGAAATGTTAGCCAAGCGTAAGTCTCACTTTCCAGTGCGCCCAAATTACAAAAATTTCTAGCTGGACTAAAGCCAGTACTGAAGCGCTTTAAAAACGCTTAATGAGTCATAATCAAAAACGAATCTCCCCTTCCCAGCGTTCAAGAAATTTCAACGAAGGACTGCCCAAAACGATGTGCTCAATTTGGCGACAGTAGTCATCTACTATCAAGACTGCGATGGAATCCCTTTTCCGTAAATTGATTGGAAATCAAGCAGAACATAGTTCGAACATGTCAGTATCAATCTATCATCAATAAATCAGTGGCCCAGATTTGACAACAGCTGTGTTGCAAAAGGAAGAAGGTGCTAGCAGTAAGGAAACGAAGTTGGTGGCTAAACCCCTTCGTCTTGCCCAGTTGCT